CTGTGTAACGCCAACGCTGTGTAACGCCAACGCTGTGTAACGCCAACGCTGTGTAACGCCAACGCTGTGTAACGCCAACGCTGTGTAACGTCAACGCTGTGTAACGCTGTGTACCGCTAACGCTGTGTACCGCTAACGCTGTGTACCGCTAACGCTGTGTAACGCTAACGCTGTGTAACACTAACGCCGTGCAGCGCTGTGTAACGCTAATGCTGTGTAATGTTAACGCTGTGCAGCGCTGTGTAACGCTAACGCTGTGTAACGCTAACGCTGTGTAACGCTGTGTAACGCTGTGTAACGCTGTGTAACGCAGTGTAACGCAAACGCTGTGTAACGTTAACGCTGTGTAGCGCTAACGCTGTGCAACACTGTGTAACGCTGTGCAACGCTGTGCAACGCTGTGCAACGCTAACAATGTGTAACACTAACAATGTGTAATGCTAACAATGTGTAACAATGTGTAACGCTAACGCTGTGTAACACTAACACTGTATAACGCTGTATAACGCTGCGTAACATTAATGCAGTGTAACATTAACGCTGTGTAATGCTGTGTAAGGCTGTGTAATGTTGTGCAGCGTTGTGTAACGCTGTAACGTTGTGTAACGCTGTGTAACACTGTGCAACTCTGTGTAACGCTAACGCTGTGTAACGCTAACGCTGTGTAACGCTAACGCTGTGTAACGCTAACGCTGTGTAACATTAACGCTGTGTAACGTTAACGCGGTGTAACGTTGTGTAACGTTGTGTAACGTTGTGTAACATTGTGTAACGTTGTGTAACGTTGTGTAACGTTGTGTAACGTTGTGTAACGTTGTGTAACGTTGTGTAACGTGTTACCTGGCAGATGCAGGCGGGGTCACTCTTCCTTCTTCACTGTCACTTCTCGCTCCACTGCCAGGATGGTAGAGATCTCCCCCTGCATGAAGGCCCAAGGCACGGTGGATCCAGCGAGTGGGCAGCGCTCCCCGCTCGGGCAGTACACCTCCCCCCCAGGCCCCTGGCTGCGGATGAACCCCCGGGTGCACGGGAAACAGAACTTGTGGTGCGGGACAGAGGGACACTGGACAAAGTGTGTGTCCTCCAGGCGTTCTCTGCAGAGGGTGCAGCAGAGCACAGCCTGCGTGCTGCTCGTGCTCTCCCCGCTGACCGAGCTGCTGCTCGGTCCCACTGCGCTCAGACCTTGCCCCCCCATGGCTGCCTGGGAGGCTGAGGTGGAGGCGGTGGAGGGACTGCTGCTGCTGGAGCGCCCCGCTGCTGAGGAGTGGCCAGCGGACATGCTGGGGCTGTCTCTGGCCATCTGACTAGAAGTCAGGCTGTCTGCGACCCCCATGAGCGCCGAGATGGGCGACGGCTGGCTGTGCAGCCGGGGGGGGCCCTCCTGAGGAACAGCCATGCCTGCAAGGGCTTCTGTGTAGGCACCTCTGGACCAGGGCTCCCTCGCTGCATGGTCGGGTCTCCCGTCACTCTCTCCGTTCTCAGAGCCGGGGGAAGCTTTGCGGCGCCTCGTCGTTCCTTTTGCCGGAGCGGGACGCCCAGCAGCTGCCAGCGACGGCACCGGGTCCGGCTGGGGTAGGACCTCTGGGATCGGGGGTTCTTTGAACATCCTCACGCCGTCGTTGAGCAGCTCAGACAGCACGCGCCAGTCTCCGGAGCCGTGCCGCTTCTCATATTCCACATATCTCAGCCCAGAGTTCACAGCTTTGCCGGCATCTTTGGCAGAATCACGAAACATCTGGCGAACCAGGTCTGGGACTCCAGAAAAGATGATTCCTGAGCCCACGGGGTACTCCACAAACACCTTCAGCTCGAACTCGGGAACGGTGCTGGCGTCGAAGGCCAGGACGCGACCCAGCAGGTTGTGGTCTTTCCTGAAGCGCACGTTGAAAGGGACAGAGCTGCTGAGAGCCACGAGCACGTCCCGGACCGCTTTGGGCTGACCGGGCCAGCCCTCCACCCGGCTGCGGGCCACCTCGTTCAGCTCTGCCATCACCTCACTGTTCCTCCAAACTGCAGGGTCCAAACCCAGCAGGGCCGAGGTGCCGGCCCCCACACCCAGGGCCACCGCCTGCCTCCTGCCTGCCTCAGCCATTATGGGACCAGCTGAAACTGCAATGGGTGTCACTCCAGACCTGGACCCGGCTAACGGGGCCAGCAGCCCGTGAGGCGCCGCCACCAGCCCCTGAGCCATTAGCGCGTGGGAGATGGTGCTGTGGAGGGCCGGCACGGCCGCGGCCACACGCCGCGTGTTCGGGCTCTGACGACTCCCCTCGGACATGGCTGCGTCCTCAGGTCTGTGCAGGCCGTTGAGGAGGCGGGAGGAGGCTCCGTACTCCCCCCGGCTCCTGTCCACGCGCTCCCCGTGCTGCCGCCCGGCCTCCGCGGCTCCGCCCGACGCGGCTTTACTGAGCTGCGGACCCGGGGACCTGCCGTCCAGGACCCCGTGGGTGCTCTTCAGCTGCCGCGCCGTCTCGATGAGGAGCTCGATCCGGTCCGCGCCGTCGTAATTCACGCAGCCCCGACACACCGCCTCGCTGAACTCCCACAGCATGGCCCACGGCATCTTGGGCAGATCGCACAGGTAGCACCACTGGCGTCTGGAGGAAGACTGCGAGGCGGAGGACATGTTGTTGACAGGCCGAGCAGCAAACTTTCTTCGGAGGCCGACACGTTGTCGCTTTGCGCTTCTCGTATTTTTCACTCCCCGGGCAGCGCGCGCCACATGCCACGACCTGCTCAACAAAGTGGAACAAAACCGTGTTGGACCCAGAACACGAGCGACGAACCTTCCAACTTAGCACGAGCTTCTTTTTCGGTTTGTCCTAGGGTCTGTGTGGGAGGAAGTAAAACGTTACG